CATTGTATGTAATGTACATATTTAGGAAAATGCACCTGCTATATATACCAATATATCATAAAGCAAAATCTTTTTAAAAGATTTAGGATAGCAAACTGTTATACCAAGGTGTACATAGACACTTTCTACTCTACATGTGTAACTGTCTGAACATTTTTATCATTACAAAAGCATTACTAGTTAAAAAAGAATTTAAATTCCTGCAAAAATCATACAATCCAGTGGCTTTAGAGGTCATTTCCTCTTTGCAACGAGGAAACGTGTGCACAGAGCAATGCCCTGACTTGCCCACCACCACAGCTCCTTAATGACAGAGCAGAGCGCCTATGAGTGAGAGCTGATGCTGAGAACGAGGATGAAGAGCCAAGGGGCTCACATGGTTTCCTACTGAGAAAGGACAAAACTATGGAGGAAAATCCAACATAGAAAAAGAGCAATCAGCTGGATAGAGGCTCTTCCTCTGTTCTTACAGCAGCCTGTGCATATCTCCCACAACCCCGAACTGTATTATAGTGTAATTCCTAAAGGGAACTCTGAGAGGGCAGTAAGTTTATTCATTTCTCTTTCCCCCAGTGCACAACAACAGCACCAAGAGGGGCTCACAAAATACAGGTTTAATGACTGAATAAACAGAAAACAAAATAGATGAGTACACTTACACGCAAAATTGGACAGAGCAGCAAAATTGGGGGTTTTCTTAGGGAGCTGCCCTTTAAAAGAGAATTTTCTTAAGTACGAGCAGTCCCTATGGCCAGCAGGTGAGTCCAGAGTAATAGTTTACCAACGTATAGCCAGCCACGTTTGAGCCTTTTTTTAGAGGTACAAGCAATAAGCCATGCATGATACTGTCATCTTTGCATAGCCAGCAGGATGGCAGGAGGTTCCATTTCCCCGTCCCTCAGGCGACTCAGCTCACCTGAGCAGGTAAGGGGTTGGCAAGCCACTCCGCGCAGGCGCAACAGCAATGGCTGACACCACCTTAGGGTCCTTTCGCGGTAAAATCGCTCAGTCAGGGCAGGGGGAAAACGTACATTAACAAGAGGGTATGCAGAGCAGCGTCCTATAGATGTTGCTGCGGTCTACAGCTGGCGGGGTCGGGGGAGCATGGAGACAATCAGGCGTTAGAAGGAACAAAGAGCTGCCCGCCTGGCGAGCCACGAGAGCTGCGGCAGACCACGTGTCTGCGGGCGCGGCGCACGCGCCGTCCAATCGCCAAGCCCAGCAGTGGGGCGGAGACAGGCGGAACCAAGGCATTGCAGGGGAGGGGAAGTCCTGTTCCACAGCCCCCCACCCCCACCCCCCACGGGCGGAAATCTGGAGCTACAGCGCTGAAGGTTTGTGGTTCCTATGCTAGACAATTCAGTTGTGGGACTTATCTCCAATTCACTTAACCTCGCTGTAGGTGTATTTTCCCACAGCCGTGTCAGCTTTCCACGTGCAAACCCAGCAGCTGTAATAGTTGCTCTGGTATCTACTGGAATTCATGGCCACCCCATGTGCAGAGTAGAACTGCTCTACAGGTTTTCAAGGCTGTGACCTTTCGGGAACAGATCGCCAGGCCAGTCTCCCAAAGCGCCTTTGGGTGGGTTCGAACTAGTAGTCGAGAACTTAACCATCTGCACCATCCAGGGACTAATAAATATTATAGTTCCAAAGAAAGGCTTCTTATGGGGTAAGGAGTTTCATTGAGCTACCCAGCTACCACTAGGTGATAGTCATAAAAAAACAGAATGGCTTTCCCAATGTAGAAGAAAACCTGATTGTAAACTATCCGATCTGAATCCAAGGAGTACTTTCTCACACTCCCATTTTCAGAATGAAGGGTTCTATATTCGTGACAAACCACAAATAATTTTTCAAATAACAATAAAAATTGGCAATATCCAAGTGCAATTATTTCTTCCACAATGAAAAATGGAAAGCTGCAGCACATGTTCATTTATTTTCTCACTTGTAGAAAAAAACTCTCGAGTTTGGATGGGGTGGAAACTAGGACTTCTAACATTTTGGATCTCTATTTACAAGGCAGGAACCCTGGTGGCACAACGTCAAGTGCTCAGCTGCTGACAGGTCAGTGGTTAGAACCCGCCGCAGTCGGCTTTTGTAAAGATTACAGCCTAGAAAATCCTATGGGGGCAGTTCAATTCTGTCCTATAGGGTCTGAGTAAGAATCAGCTGAACAGTACAGGTTTTACAGGGATAAGGGTAGAAAGAATGGAAGGATGCAAACCAACAAAGGGATGGAGCCTCACTCTAGGTGAAGTATGACAAGTGAAAGCCCTCTCAATAACTCGATTCATTCATCTATAGCACCATGAATGGGAAGGAAAAAATGGTCAAATGCTTTGATTTTTAAAAATTTTCCATCTACACCTGTTAATAAAAATCCCAATTTAATAACCTGTTGCAATTTTAAGAATTGTTTTTTTAAAAAAAAACGAGATAGTTTCTAAGTATTCTCCAATAAATGTTCCTTGGAAAAATGGGGCTGAGGCAAGGGAAAAAGTTAAGATTAGCTTGGAACATCCTGTCGTGCCATAAACCAAGGAAGGACTCTAAAAATGTTGGGGGCACGTCAAAAACACAGAAGACAACTTTAAGGAACTCCCAATGGCCAAAGCTGGGACAACTGATCAACGAAATATAGCACTGGATAAAATATCCATGAGTCCATACTGATACAACTGAATTAATGAGGAGGAGGGATAGCTCCTCCTTACAGTAGATTTTAATTAGTAAATATAGAAGGAACAATAGAAAGTTAACATTTGTTAACCGCTACAGTAATACTTGTTGCAGGCAAAAACAATCCATAGATGCCAAAATTAGTGGACCCAAGCGTGTTAACCAAGTGATCAAAATTAACATCATCAATAACACATATCTACATCATGTACCCAGTATGACGCACTGAGAAAGGTACATCACTTTTGTGGTATTATTGCCAAAAATAACTTCAATCTAATAGTGAGAAAACATCAGACAAATCCAACTCAGAGGGCATTCTACGAAATAACTGGCCAGTGCTCTTCAATAGTGTGGAGGTTATGAAAGATGAAGACTGAAGAACTATCAGCAATTGGAGGAGACTAAAGACAGTAAATGAAATAAGAAGTGGACTGGATGCTGAACCAGAAAAAAGACAATATTGGGACAAGTGGCACAATTCAAGCAAGGTCTGCAGATGAGTTAATACTACCGTGTCTGTGTTAATTTGCTGGTTTTGAAAATTACAATGGTTACATAAAATGTTAACATTAGGAGAAGCTGGGTGAAGGGTACATGAGATCTCTCCACTATTCTTGCAAGTTTTCTGTGAAACAAGTTCAGAGTTTTGTTTTGTTTTGTTTTTTTAATGAAAATATACTGTGGGAAGATAGTTAATCAAATGTAACTAAAAATAAAACTGTGAGATTTATACATTTTGTTCACAGTAAAGGTTCAAAATTTGTGAATTATAACATTGATGGTTTGTGATGAGATTGTTTCCCCTTGTCTTCAACAAAGGAGAAAAATGAACAAACATAGCTATCCAAAGTCATCACATTTACAAATAACTAAACAAAAAACTTTGAGGGCAAATAATCAAAGTCGACAATTTCCACTGGCAAAGTTAGCCAATCAGAGGCCTGGTTTAGTTGTATTTTGGGGTTTTCACTAAACCAACTTTTGGACCAAACTCAGAGTGAAAATAGTCTAATCTTTTATACTACAGAAAATGGTACAGCCAATACATTTAAAAAAAAAAAAAACACACATCTCAGTTGTACCCCAAGATCCTGACCACCTCAATACTCAGGGCTAGGTGAGCAGCCGTATCAAGGGCTTCAAATTCCTTTCAGTTTATTCCCAAAGCCATACCAGTATTTTCTGTATGTCCTGTGAAAAAAGACTGGGAAGCACTGGCTTAAACTATGAAGATGCTATCATTTCAAATTGCCAAAAGTATCTTGAATAATCTCATATCCAACTTGAATACAAGGCAGGAAAATCTATGTAAAATTGTTTTTGAATTTGCTATCTCTGGATACGTTCCCTTTTAAAGGTGAAGTACTAAACAATTAAGCCAAAGGGAGTCTTCCAGAAGTTACAGAAGTTTGAGCTAAAACTGAAAACACTGAATGCAACATTTCTAACTGGGAAATTGGACACTGTCAAACTGATGAAAATACAAAGAATTTCCCAATTTAGGGGGAAAAGATCTCAAAATGCTTAGCAAACAGGAAAATTTAGGAATATCGTACTGTCCTTCTGGTAGGCAGAGAAAAGTTCTTGATTGAGGTGTCAACTATAATACTAATTACGTATTAGCATTTACAGGCACCCTTGATTTAGTAGCCTGGGCTGTGTAGAATAGGATGGATAAGTCAACTGTAGACCAAAAAAATTGTCCAACAGTATCAAAACCCATTTTCAGAACCCTTTCTTATAGAAGTTTTCACACGCTCTCCAACTCTCTCTAATTGGGACATCTATAAGAGCTAAAAATCTTTAAGGCAAAGAAGCTTCCAAACTTTAGTAAATGAACCAGGGCGAACCAAATATTGTTATAAGATTCACAAAGACCCAAGCCCACTAGATTTTCTTGTTCTTGGAGATCTGCGTCCAACTGGAATCCTTATCTAGTAACCCATGCTTAGGATTAAACAATCTTGTTTATATCTCACTACATCCTTGATACAGAGCTCTAAGTGTTTCAAGCATAAGACATCCGGCCAGATTCTATGGAATTAGCACAGTGCCTGGCACCTAATAACACAAATATTTGTTGAATGGCTCTACCTTTTCTGGGAAGAATCCAGAAACAAACATCATGAATCCTGGCCCACCTTGCTCTGCAAAAGTCAGTTATCCAGCCCAAGCAAGCCTGAACTATTCCCTCTTAGTATAAACTTCCTAAAAATAGTTGCCATCTCACCTCTTCAAACTCCTTACACAATAATACTCCCAATCTTTTGTAAAATATAGCAGACTCAAATAATACTGAATGGTACTAGAAGTGATGCTCAACAGGATCTCACGTTTATTGAGAAGTGATTAATGGTAAAAAGAAAGGCAATGCCCTTTCCTCATTGGCTGAACAAGAAACTGAAGAAACATTCACTACACGTTTTACAATATTTTTCTTTTCCAAAATGCATTTCTGTAAACAAGTTTTTACCACTGTTCTTAGCTTTGAAATCAAATTAATCCTGACTTAATCAGTATAATGTACAAGAACAGAACATTTCTTAGGACTCCTAGTACTTTACTTTGAGTAACAAAGGGTCAGAGAAAATGAACCACCCTTAAAGACACAACCTTGGGTAACACTGTTAAATTCTCCTAGACAAAAATTCTTCATAAAAATGTTCTTCCAGTTCGGAAGGGAAAAACCAAATTACCACTTTCTGGGGTGGATGCCCAAAACCTTCGCAACTCAAGTGTTCTCCAAGTGCAAATGTCAAAATGGGGGGAGGAAAGGGTTTAAAAATTAGAGAAAAACTGTATGCACTTACGGACTTTAAAATCCGAAAAACATAGTAAAAAGACAAAAAAACAAAGCATTATGCTCTGAGATCACAACCAAAGCCAAAATAAAGGGGACATTTTCACCTAAACTACCTAGAGGGATTTTTTGTTTAGTTTTTTCTTTTTCTTTTTTTTTTTTTTTTCCATTTTCCAGTTAAGTCCTATGTCTTTTGTGAAATTCCAATACTTAAACTGCAAGTCTGCAATTGTCTCTGAAGTCAATGAAATTAATAAAAAAGTCCTAATTCTCTTGAAGGTCATTTTTTCCTCTTTAGGATATGCAGATGCAACCGTTGCTGCAGTCTGTGCAGAACTGCCTTTATTTCCCACGACCTTGACGTTCCTATAGAGGTAAGAAAAAAGTCAAAATGGTTAGTTAAAACTTATTGGAACACACATGCTTAAAAATTAAAACTTCACAGAATAACTCAATAAAAACTTAATTATTTGTGCAGAAAAGAATATTCCATACAATAAAAGCTGGCTTTTACCTGCTATATTTTTAAACCAAAGTATTAACACTCAAGCATCCCAATTAATACAAAATTTGTTTTCCTCTTATACTTGGTTTAGGCTAATAACTTGCCAGTCGGTAGAAATACAGGCCTAATGGAAATAGTACATCAATGGCCTGATGAAGGGAAACAGCATACATAGTACATAAGAAAAAAAGCCCTAAGAGTACTAGAGTCAGACTCACCTAAATTCAAATCCCTTATTAGTCCCAAGGCCTTGGACATTTTCACAGGCCTCAATTTTTTCACAGAGCTTGGGGAGAATTAATGAGCTGATGTACAGAAAGCCTCTAATCCATAGTAACCCAACAAGAAAACCTTTAGTTCAGTTCCTCTCCCCCTGGCAAAGACAAGGGGGTTAAAATCTAGCTAGAGGTGGATTTTGAAAATTGATTGCATACTTAGTATTCCTGAAATAAATCTAAATGCTCATTTTCCTGTATCATTCTTAAAACCCTTCATAAAGTTATCCTCATCAGCGTTCCATTTCACACACTACACCTCATGTATAGAATTTTTAAAAATGAATGACTCGATCCATAGCTTTTAAAAGCAGAAGCATTTAAGGAGTTAGGAACACACAGGCCTGCAACTTACACGATTCACTGATCTATTCGAGTAGCCACTTGCTCCCATCTATCCTATGGTAACTATGGTTCTGAAGTTACCTACTAAAGCCAATCCCTAAAATTAGCAACTACAATTTAAGGGCGTCCATATTCTGGGCACTGTATATTATAATGATCTTCACAACCACTGTGTAAGAACTGTATTATTCCTGCTCTAGAGAGAAACTCACCAACACACCAAGATTTGGGATATTATTTTAGAATTCACTTTAAATTTTTAAATAAAACAACAACCCATACATTAACTCCTATCTCTGGAAATCAATTTCAAGTCAAAAATAAGAAAAATAAAAGCAGCCCAACATAAGAGAGACCTCGAAAGTTTTGATGTTCCTGGGTGGTGGTACTGATTTTTTTTTTCCCTTGCTGTGTTTTCCCAAAATTTCAATAATGAATATATATAACAGGAAAATTACAGTTTAAAAAACCTTTGGATGGACCCCTGAAACTACTGCCCTGAGATAATCTTTAAACCTTAAACCAAAAATATCTCCTGAAGTCTTCTTGAAACCAAACAATAGTTTAGCTTGACTAGTAAAAAAACGTCTGCCTTGAACATTATGCTCTTTTAAGAACTATATGGGATGAAAGTGACAACAGCAACTCGAAAGATTAAATAGGAACCTCAGGGGGCAGTGACTTTATGTTAATGGGAAGGAACAACTCAGAAAAGGAGGGTGAGAGTGATTGCACAACTCAAAGCATGTAATCAATGTCACTAAATGGTACATGTAGAAACTGTTCAACTGGCTTATGTTTGCTGTGTATATTCTCAGTAACAACAGCCAGTAAATAAAATTATATATAAAAAATAAATAAAAAGAGGAGGTTGGTCAGGACAGGGTTCAACAACAACAAAAGAATGAAAAAAAAATCTTTGGAGTTGATCAAATAATAGTCTATATTAACATTTTTAAACTAGTCAAGCTTTCAATACCTTATTTCTCATATCCATTTTGAACTCATCACTTTGGTTTTGTCTTTCATAATCTAGATGAATACCATTTATCCAACTTCTGTTTACTGACCAACATCTATCTTTTGGTTTCAGGAAATCTAGAGTCTTCCGTGTGTTTGTGTCACCTGATTAAATCTTATTTCTATGCTTTTGAGTATTCCTTAACCACTGCAGCCTTCAAGGTCCTTTTCCTAAATCTGCATCCACTAAAGAAAACTAAATTGTATTCTGTCTTGTTTCATGTAAGATTAGTCCTAACTTTACAGTGGAGAACCAAACTAGACCAAAAGCTTCTAGAAAGCAAAGAACAAGTCTTTAACCTCACCCACAACCATTAGATAACATGTTAAGATTGATTTTTAAATGAAAAAGTCTATTACCTCTTATTTTAATGTAATATAACCCCGGAAGTACAAATTGTTCTGCTAGGTTAGAAAACCTGGACTCTGGATCACTCCTCTGCCAAATCCATTTTTTTCTCTAAGAAATAACACTTACATCAGCATGCTTAATAATAGTATTTAAAATACTTAGAAGAAATTCAAAAACAGCATTCTGTAATGGCACTTACTGCACTGTCTCATTTTTAAACACAAACTTTATCTTCTTTATGGTGATACTAAGTCCCACCAAGTACCGTGTTTAATTTTGCCTAAAATATAAAGTACAAAAATAAAGATTCCTGAATCTAAAATACACAATGATACCAAGAGGACAAGCATAAACTCTGTCCTAATGTAAACCTGTATGCCAAAAGACTTACTTTAAATGATGCAAATACACACAAGCAATGGCATTAGCTGCCTTAATCCCCTGATCAACATCAATAAGCACATGGATACAATTCAGCAAATTGACTAAACTGCCCTCCTATTTCCCTAGATAGTTTTAGTGTACACAAAGTAGCTTCTACATTTACAAATAATAAAGAAAACACTCATATTCACTTTACGTATTCACATTACACTATCTTGAAAAGTAAAATAAATGAATCAGGAACAATTTAAAATATTTTAAATGTTTCAAAAAATTTTAAATGGTTGTCCAAGATTTTTTTTATATTATCTTCACTTAAAAAAAAAAAAACAGCAATAGAGATTAGAAATGGAGTAATGAGTAGAATCCTACTTAAAGGGCCTCCCACTGCCAAATCTTCAACAATTTGAGCATTATATAACCATGTTTTTGTTAGGTGCCATCGAGCTGATTCCAACTCATAGCAACCCTACATCACAGAACAGAACTGCCCCATAGGGTTTCCTATGCTGTAATCTCTACAGAAGCAGATCACCAGGTTTTTTCTCCGGCAAAGTGGCTGGTGGGTTCAAACCACCAACCTTTCAGTTAGAAGCCAAGCGCTTAACCACTGCGCCACCAGGGCTCCTTTTACATAACTATACTAATAAGTAAACAACTATCACAATAATATCCAAATTAGGCAAGAATTATCAATGGATGCTAAAAGTAGAGGATGAAAAGTTGATGAGGAATAGAATATTTACATAGTCTCAAACTATCTTCCCACAAATTACCTATTAAAAGGGAAAAAAATATTAACTTTACAGTGCAGAACCTGGTGGACAACACCCTAAACAAGTGCTCAAAGTTAAATTACCAATAATGGCATAAAGAGACATCTTGTACCTCCTAATGTGTGATGCACTAAGGACACAACATCACTTATGTAGTATCCTGGCTAAAGCATAATCTGAAAGTACATAAAGAGGAAATCTTAGACAAACCCAAAATTGGTGACATTCTACAAAAAGAAATAGCATATACTCCTCAAACATGTCAATGTCATAAAAAATCAGGTGAGAGAGAAAGAAACTCTTGCAGATTAATGAAAACTAAATGCAATGAATGTTCCTAAACTAGAACCTGGACTCCCCCCACCCCAAAATGCTATCAAGAACATTATGATAACTGGCAAAATCTCAGTAAAATCTGTAGATTAGATAATGGTATTATGTCAATGTTACATGTTCTGATTTTGATAACTGTACTGTGCTTATGTAAGTGTATGTCCTTGTTCTTAGGAACTATACACCAAAATATTTAGGAGAAAGGGGCACAATGCCTGGAACTTACTCATAAATGATTCAGGAAAAAAAAAAATTATTACACACACACAGCCAAAGGGAATGATAAAGCAAATGTGGCAAAAGCGTTACAATGGTAAATCTGAGTGAAGAGTATATGGGAGTTCTTTGTACTATTTTTGAAATTTCTGTGATTTAAATAATTACAGAATAATATGAAATTATTTCAAAATAAAAAGTTAATAAAATGGGGGAAAAGAAAAATAATGTGACAGTTTTCATTGAAACCTTCTGCAAAAAAATTAGCTGCATTAAAAGTTATGTCTGGGGGCCAATGAGTTTCTGTTAATGATGGTAGAATAATTTGGAAAAGGACAGTGGTTAATGGTTGCACAATATGATGAATGTAACCAACATCACTGAATTATATATGAAAAAATTATTAAATTGGCAAATGTTATATATAGTTTTACCACAGTAAAAAAGGAAAAGTAAATGCACACCTATGTTCATTGCAGCATTATTCATAATAGTAAAAAGATGGAAACACCCTAAGTGCCCATCAACAGATGAACAGATAAATCTGGTAACATACATACAATGGAATACTATGCAACTATAAAGAAAAATGAGGAGTCTCCAAAATACAACATGGATGAATCTGGAGGACATTATGCTGAGTGAAATAAGTCAATCACAAAAAGACAAATTTGTATGGTCCACCAAGGGTAGGAGGGAGAAGATGGGAGAATCACTTTTAGACAGTAGACATTTGTTACTTTTCGTGATGGGTGAAGTCAGCACAATGTGACCAAGGTAAATAAAGACACTAAGAAGTAAACAAGAAATAACTTTGGTAAATGCTACCACATAAAAGTTTGCAACAGTAAAAACAACTAAAAAATATGTGTGTGGTTATGTTGGAAGATATGGATGCATACATGTGTATAGGAAGGCATATGAGAGTAAATGCATGTGCATATTATAGGTATTATCTATAGGCATATGAATATACATGTTTGTGTGTGCTGCATATATATTCACATACATGACAAACCACACAGGGGGCACAGTTATGGAGGCTTCCTAAACATATCCAAACAACTTGCAGGATTGGTTTACTGGGTTAAAAGGCTTGGAACCATAGTCTCGGGATAACTTAGTCGGCATAACATAGTTCAGAAAGATGATGTTCTACA